TTTAGCAGTGCCGAAGCACACAAAAACAAAAACCACACCCTTTGGCTTGTGACACTGTGTTGTTTGTTGGACACTGAATTCACCCAGGGGGCTGTCCAAGATGTTCATCTTGTGAAGTGGTGTTTTGAAGTGTCCATATCCAGATCTCAGTCTGTTCACCTTGACCTGTGCTTCATTGTCAAGGTCATACTTGATGGGGGACTTGTTTCATATTGGTATAAAATGCTATAGAAATAGATCTGACCTTTCCCAGTGGTTGGGCCACTCAATTGCTGCCCACAGGTTTGGTTCAGTACCTCCAGTCTCTTCCAGGAGTTTGTGGGCTTCATGTACAAACAGTTTGTGACTTTTAAGCCTTGTAAGCCTTGATCTGTTCAAGTCTTCAGTTAACAGTTGACCGAGCAGGTGATTTTTGTCATCTCTTGCCTCTATTGTCAGTAATGATGCTAGGGTCTGTCTTCTTATATCACTTGGTCTAATGCCCAAAAGTATAGGGAATACATCTGTGTGCATGAGAGTTGTGCAGCCTGTTTAAAGTCTCAGTGTATTGTTAAGTATAGTGTTGAGCTTTTTAGTGTGACAGCTTCTGGACCACATGGGAGCACAATATTCTGCTGGTGGTATACCATTGCAAGTGCTGTGGTTCTTGGCACTTAGAAGTTGGCACCTCATGGTGTGCTGGCTTAATATCTTAAAGCAGCTACTCGTGCAGAGATTTTACTGATAAACCTCTGAATGTGATCTTTATAGGTGAGAGAATGGTCTAATGTGCCTCTTAGGCAGGTTGGAATAGGCTCCTGGGGAAGGATGTGGTTGCCTACTCTGATATTTAGCATGCTCTAGGCTCGACGACTGCCCAGGTGTAAGAATGATGATACTGATTTATCAATGCTAAACTTTAAGCACCACTTGGGGAGATAGTCAGTGATGAGTTCCATTTCAGCACTCAGTTTCTTTTCCAGGTCTGGCGTGCTTATTCTTTGGGTTAGAATGGGGATAGGGAGTTAGAGTAGAGCTGCTGGTGCATGGTACGTGCCAACCTGTCTGCTGTTACCTACAGAAAGTGAAAACTGGACTGGGCTAAAACAGCACTGTTCTATACAGAAGCAAACTGTGCCAGTTTAGCTATAATGTATAATTGGGTCAAAGCCAGCAAACAGACATTACTTAAGGTCACCTACTCCAGGGTAAGTCCACATCTCCAGTTAACATGCTACAATACGATTGTTTCTTCATACTGTTCTTTCAATTTAGCTTACATACTGATAATTCTGATGCACCAGTCTGAATCAGTAGTAACTCCACTAAAATCAGTGGAGTTATATGGGTGTAAAACCACCATCAGGTACATTTAGGTTCAAGTATTTATCTAAATACCACCATTTGCCAGTCTGATGACTAACCACTATAATTTAAGTAAAACTGAAGTATTTGAGGAAAGATGTTGTTTTTCTGAAAGACTTTGATTTTTAGAAAGACATAACAGATCACTTCGATAGGCTGAAATAGGGAGTTTCAATATTTTTTTTATGGTTTTCTTTTACATTAATTCAGCTGTATATTATATATTTAACTTTATAACTTTATATATTTATTCACTTGTATATTATATGTATATTATATATTTACCTAATTCAATTTATATTAAATATACATTGTATTTTAAATGGCTTAATTTTCTAGTTTGGCCTATTTTGTATTACTTATTTTTTCAAACATAAATTCAAATAAATTAATTACATTATAAATACAGTAAAAGCATAAATTATATGCAAATAATACAAACATATACAAATAAAATACATTCTGAAGAATCCAAAATTGAAATAAATCATTTTATTTGTATTTAAATGAAATCATTTAATTGACTTAAAATATTTTTTGGCTGAAATTTCACTGTGAAGGAAATCTCAAATTTTCAATTATTTTTCTAGTTCCCCTGGAATGGAAATTCTGGAATCCAATCAGCTGTAATTAAAAATTATTACCAGGGATTACTTTTATTATAAATATATCTTAGAATTATGGTAATCTGAGGCAAGATAGAATTGGAGAAAATCAATTCAGTCATTTTATATTTTGAACATTTAAGTCTCATTTAGTGAGAAATGGTGAAACATTTCTCTTACTTTTTTATGGTCTATTCAAATAACTGTGGAATAGACCACTGTTCTATTTACATATCTAGGACATCCAAATGTGAATTAGTTCAATTTTTTGACTCTCAAATATGGGAATATTTCCACTAAGACTATGAACAATTTGAATCAAGATTATGAGCGAGGACTTCAATTCTGCATTCTGTTATTTGTGCATGCTTGATTTCTCAAACTTAATGAAGCACCAGTATTAAGTCTTGACCTGACTATATACTACACCATTTAGAAGTAAGGAATAATATTTATCTAATGTAAGAATAAAAAAACCTGCAAGATTTCAGTATCCAAAATGATTCTCTCACACGGGATGCCAAGTATTTACATTCAAAATCATGTAATGCTTTTTATAGTCCAGATCAGTTTTGGTATTTTTAACTGGGTTATTTATGCTGCCAGATAAGCTAGAGTTTCTCAATTATATGTTGTAATATAAACCATAAAGGTACATTAGGGAGGGGGGCGGAGGAGGGAGGAGAGAAAATGAAAGCACTGGGTAGAGTATTTATTGCATGACCTTCAATTTTTCCCATTAGCAATACAGAAATGCGATTCCATCTAGACAGATCTACTTTCATTTGTCTCCTAAGTGCTTTGTAATTTAAAGTGGAAATGGAGTCATATCAATTGAAATTTGAACTCCTTAATATTTGTTGTGAGAGCTGTTCCCTTTATAGATTACAGTGCACAAAGTATTTGTCTTTCAATTTAAGATTTCAGTGGCATTGTTCTTAATCTTGATTTTATTGATCTTACAGCCAATTGTCTTGTAATGATAATACATCTTTAAATATTGACAGGGTAAAGTTACGATTCCTGGCAAAATAAAATTGGCATGTATAGAGAGTCAGTGCTGAAGCCTTTCCTTCTATAGACTCAGTTGGAAGCTAAGATCTTAGCTAAGGTCTGTGGAAACAAATGAGACAGTAAGGTGACAATGGGTGGCTGTATCGGATGTCATGCACTAGGAAGGGTCATTGCCAAGGGTTATGTTAGCCCAGCTAACAAAACGTCTGCCTAAGCCAATTTTTTCTAGCAATGCAAACAAATTTCTGTTTCATTGTGTTGACTTGTTTTTCTATTTCTGTTGTTAAGATAGCTTCTGGGAGGCATTCTTCACCTGAACTTTCAAGGGTAGATAAGCATGATAGGTATCATCTGACAGATAGCTGTCTTCTGCAAAGCCTGCACAGATCAGTTTTGGAAGTAGCATATCTAGGATTTCGCTGTTATTTTGACAGATATTTTTAGCTTGCACTGAACTGAAAGATTGGTTTGTAAATTGGTCGTCTCAAGAGTCCCTGTCTGCATTTAAAATGCTGAAATGGAGGCTGGCTTAATTTTCTTTAACCTTTTTGTTGTTCAGTCACAAAATTAAAAGCTTTATACACTGTAATAGAGGGAATATGTGATCTTTAAATGTTTTGTGAAAGTCTGATGTGCATTCATCAAGGCTAGGAGCTTTAGTACCTTTTATATTAAAATGACACCCTATTCTACTGATGTTGGTTTTCCTTTACACACACACACACACACACACACACACACACACTCTCTCTCTCTCTCTCTCTCTCTCTCTCTCTCTCTCTGGCTGTGCTCATGGTCAACTCATGGTCATTACCAGTGATCCTCATTTTCTCTGATATAAAAAATCCCCAATTTTCAGATTTAAAAAAAGTAATCCCAAATCCACATTTTTCCATGATTAAAATGAAACACTACTATATATATATTTCTATATTAACAGTGTTTTATTTTAATTATGGAAAAAATGTGTGTTTGGGGTTACTTTTTTAAATCCAAAAATTGGAGATTTTTTAAAATCAGAGAAAACCAGGATCCTTGGTCATTACTAGTAAATAAAAAAATACATGCCATATTTTGCCTTGATCTGCATCTAGAGTCAGGACAGGTTGCAACCAAGGAAATGAAAAGACTAATTGCTAGCAACCCAATAAAATTAAGAATTTCTTCCTTCTTGTACATTTTATCACATAACACATCTGCAGGATCACCTCTTAAGGGTTCCTACACAGGACACTCAGGAAAGATAACATAAACTCACTAAAGGTTAATTTAGCCAAGTTTGGAAGTCATGCCAATTTTATTCTAAAGGAGAATGTCCACATAAATATCTAATGTGGTGTAATAATGCACTTGAAATTCTCCATTGTAGTTTATCTGGATTAATTTTCCTGAGCGCTTCTATGTAGACAAAGTTTTGTTTCAATACTCCATATCATCTCACAATTTCATTGGCAATGTGTATGGGGTGCACATGGGTACACGTGCACCCCCTGACCATGGCAGTGCACCCCCTGCAAAAAGGTGCTGCTGACACTGCTGGTGGCGCCTGTGGGTGGTCGCTGCTCGCCACCCCCCACCTCCTACTACCGACACTGCTAGCGGTCCACAATCGCTGCTGGCTGGTGCTGCCAGTCGCTTTTGCAGGTGGTTCCCCCTCCTCCTCCAACAGCATCATGGCCACCTGCAGGAGCTCACCATGCCCCCCAGCCACTGGGGACATGCGGCGTTCATGCACAATCTAGTTACACAAGAATTCTTTTGTAACCGAGACTAGGCTTAGGAGAATACTAGCAATATAAGCAAGAAAAAGAGCTACTCTTATATTTTATACATTGAACATTCTTAGGTTACCCACAAAAGATATAGTATAACAAAAATGTACCGTACATATATATCATTATTGTTTGTATGTTTTTACCATATTTTAGGAGAAAAATATATTTTAAATTACAAATGCTGAATTATTTTTCTTTCAGTTTTAATTTCCTCATTTAGATGAAAAAAGACAGGAAGGAATGAATGAAGAGATGGTGTGGGGAACAGCTGCCATGGCATTGCTACTTTTTACTTTAGTTCTACAGAATTTTGATGGAAGTCTTGACCTTTCCTGTTAGGCCTTGCTTATGTAAACTGAGCTTATCTAGAAAGTAGTGAATGGGCCTTTCTTTTTATTATCTCCTTTCTTGGTGTTCAGTTCCTGATAATGGGCGCAAATCCAAAACAGAGGGGCAAGATAAATGTAAGTCATTAAATGAAAGAGAAAACACACAAAGGTAACGGGTCAATGCGGCACATTACTATATTTGATAAAATAGTCTAGCTGGGTTGTATCTAGAAGAGGGTTGTATCCAGAAGACTGAGTTACAAGACATTATTGTTTGTGCTGACCTTTTGAAACATATTGTACAGTTTGCAGAACTGAATTCAAATGTACAAAAGTTTAGTCTCAACACTTTACCATTCCATGTTAGTAAAGAAGTTACTAACATATTAGATTGTGATTAGTCTTTGAATGGAAATGTGGCAGATATTTCTTTATTCACTTTCCTGCCACATCAATTCCAAATGCTAAATGCCAGTATATACCTTCTCTATAAAACACTGGATTTTCCTCAAGTGACATCTTGACAGTTTGAAATCCCTGTCCGTTAGAAGTTTATGTATGAAAATCTCCTTAGACATTTCTTTTAGGCATTAGGTAATTGGGTGAATTGTTTTTCTTAGAATAGAATAACTTCTACACAATGATAACTCTTTGTTTGCTTGTGTGTTCACTAAGCAGTATGATTCATTGGCATGCTTCCAGAATCAGTGATACAAACCAAGCAATGAAAAGTGATGGGAATGTATCAATAATTTAACAAAACAGGGATTTGAAAAGAGTGGTTGAATAAAGAGGAAGGTGAACAACTGTTCTCTATGTCTCCTGGTCAGCTTTTTTGGCATAGAGCATCCACATTTGATTGTCTTGACTGGTTCAACATTTCCTCATAACAAAGTGTATCAGCAAAGAGTGTGTGGCACTGTGGGTGGGTATCATAGTCTCCCCATGACAGTGTCAGATGTACTATGTTATGGAAGCGTATAGTGGGTTGCTTTCATGTTTTATATGATACAAATCACTCTTCTCAGTGAAGTTGGGGTGTTTGGGGTAAAATTCCCATAAATCCTTCTGTTCTACCCAATAATTGCTTTGTTTTCGTGGGGAGGTGGGGAGGTTGTATACATTTTTCTTCTGATCGTATCTTACTGCCATAAATATGGAAGCTATACCTACTAGTTGAACTGCTTTGTCCAGGTTAAAGATGGGATTAGGGATCCTTTTGCAGAACTATAGCATCTGGACATAAAGTAGGGACAGTTGGAAGGACATTTAAACTATTAGCTGAGCTAATACAAGATAATGGTGGAGTATGCCTTTTGAAGACTGAGGGGTGGGTAGGGATATCTCATAAAAAGTCTGGATCTTAGTGAGGAAAAAAATCTGAGGTTATTGCTGCATGTTGTATTTTACATACCATCTGTGAGACCACACAGTTGGCAAAGTAGAGGAGCAAGGTGTGTCTGCTGTTTGCTGACTTTGAGCGACCTGAGACAGAGATACTACATGAGCTGTGCGGTTGTGGAAATCTTAAGGGCATGCTTTGACAGTCTGCAATAGCCAGATTATATGTTACTTTGTGGTACTGCATGTGCAATAATTGGTTGATTAAATGTATTTTTGGAGGCAGAAAAGGTATTTATTTTGGAAATTTTCATTTTTGTACTGTAGATTAAAATATCTGATTTTTCACAAGCTAGGAATTAATACCACTTACAAAAACACAAAGTACAAAAAGTAGCCTTAAGGAGGACAGTAATGCACAACAGTGGTACAAAAAAAAATTGAGTATGGGATGGAACAGGGAATTTTACCCCAAATCATCACAATTCACTGCTAGGAGTGATAATATTGTACAATACATAACAACAGAAACTCAATAATTTGCAAATATGTCTTACAATATAGTACATCAGACAGTATTGTGGGAATACTGCTATGTATTCATAGCGTTGCTTCATATTATCCAGTGGAGTTGAATGCCAGAGATACTCACGCTAGGAAGACTGGAGACCTGGAGGAAGGGAAAAATTATATCCAAAAGGAACTGTCTTTACGCTGTCTAGTGGCTACTAGTTTGCTGGCCTCGCATGCTCTGATCAATAATGCACTCTAAAATCCAAGTCTGTTTTTTTTGTTTTTGTTTTTTTGTTTTGTTTTTTTTACTGCTGCAAGAAATCCTGTTGCATCTCTCAATTCCTCTCTTTTTTTTCTATCATTTTTTATGCCTTTGCTCATGCATATACTTCCACCATTCTTGAGTCTCACTGGGCAGCCTGGATCAGTATATCTTCTCTTGTCCTTTTTCTTCCTTTTTCTTATCTTGCTGAGTTGTTCAGCAGTCATTCAGCCGGTATAGAAGAGATGCTCTTGAAAGATATCTTAGTTGAGGTTACTGATAAACAGACAAACAAGGTCATTGTTAGGTGAAAGCAAGAATATCAGACAGAAGAAGATAACTACTATAACCCTTTATATCTACTCAACTAAACGCATAAGATTCTCACAATCACCCTTGCTTCATGAGCCTTTAACTGTGATATGTGTTCACAGCCTTTGTGTATGTGCACACAAGACTGTGTGTACTGTATACTTGAAGGCACTTTTGAGCATCAGTAGTCATGAGTGGCTGGGTGTAGTATTCCTTGGTAACTTTCAAGATAGTGTACACACTTACAAAAGCATTTTGATCCTTGAGTATATATTGATGAGGATCTCAAAAGGCCAGAATATACAACTGTTTGACAAGGCTTGTGGTTGGCCTGGTCTGTTTGCTTCCTGTTCTTCAAATGATATCCTAAAAGGTCTTTGCAGAACGGCATGGGAAGGTGTCCTACTATGACAGAATAAACAAGGCAGCTCGGAGAAATGCCTGGAAAAAGATTAAATACAACCTGTTGGAAAAATTCTGTGAAATTTTGCCAGCATGCACAGCTTTGCAGTCTGCTAAGATCAATCACCTTCTCTGCAAGCTGTGCCCACCAATTAATGTATGTCATGATTTTAACACACAGTTTCTCTCTCTTTCCTGAACCTTAATGCAAGTAACAACAGTTTAAAATATGTCCAGATTTTTTTTTACCCTGTTATATTATACTGTGTTGGTTCTATTTTTCCTGTGTTACCGCATTTGATTTGTTTGGTTGGTTCAAAACAAGTAAGCTTTGTAAAATTAAGTATTGAAAATGCTCACTCATCTGTTTCACTGTAGTTCAGAATCATTGCAAGTGCTTTCCATTTTGTTACTATAATATTTTATGACACTGCATTTTACTGATTTGGAGTAAGCCTGTTCTATAAAAGTGTGTAGAAAATGCTCACTTGCTAACTTCACTATAAATTAAAATAACTGCTTTGCTTATATTTTATTTCTCTTTTACAAAATTTCTATTCTCCTGTATTCAGACGGTTGCCTAGTGATGCCATGCTATACTCTTAAAATAAACTGATTAGTTCAAAACAGAATTGTTTTGTTCCCATGCAAAGTTAGCCATTATTTTGGCAGGGGAGAAGGAGGTGATGTTTCAAGGACAATGGAAAAAGTAAACAAATGGCCAGCATTAATGCACCAGTTAACTACCTGCATCCTTTTCAGGGTGTCCAGATGGGTCTCAGAGAACACTTGGTTCTTGTTTCTGGCATTATCTGAGTCCCCACCCTCACTGATTCTTGCTCAGTTGACATTTTAGGTCACAGTGCATATCCACAGTTGTTAGCAGGAAGGCACTGGGGTCCAAGGTGGGTGTGCAGTTGGTGCATTCATAATGCAAGCATATCTTGGAGGAAGTTCCAAATTGGTGGTTGTGCTCCTTTTGTCTTTTGCTAAGTTGTTGTTATTCCTTTGTTTTTGCCTTCATCTTACTGTACTTCCTAACCTCCATGTCCTTTGCAAATTCCACAGATAAGCATGCAGTCTTTCCTGCAGAGGTCAAGGAAACCTATTACCTTTTCCTAGACCATGTAGTAGTACAAGAGTGAAGTGGAACAGAAACAGTGCCAGTACAAGTATCCTTACAAATATGAACTAGCGAGAAAAGAGGCATTTTCAAAACATCCTGAGGATTTTAAATGGGGAGAAGGCTTCCAGCTACTGTTATTTCTGACTAGTAGGGTTCCTAAATTTGACAGGAGTGATTGGTGCTGCAGGGACAGTTTCATTACTGGCTGCTTACTGGAGGACTGCTTGTACTGGTACAGATACATCTATGTTAACGTGGGCATTAAGCCTAGACATGTATTCCTAGAGGGCTTATCTCACTCAGGCTACTGGTTTAGATTTGCTGGAAAAAACAATAAGTTGTGCTGGCAGAACTCAAAACTGAGCATGAAGACATGCTGCAAACTATACTGAAAGAAGACAAGTTTTTAGCACTTTGGAATAGACCAGGCTGAAAGCACAACTTCTGAGAGAGAGTATTGTTTAGATTCAATAATTTCTTGGTCCTTGGCTTCCCTGTTGAGGGTTTCAGCAAGTCTTCCAGTTTCAGTGCGATTGTGGATTTATGTGAACTAAGCTTAAGCTTAAATTCTCAAACTCATTTAAGATACATCACTGAAGAGATTTCAGGTGGTTGTGACTTTCAGTCTCTGACCCATAATGGATTCAAATGAAAAATTTATAGGCAAAAAGCACCATAATACTACTAACAATCTTCGGAGACATTTGGTCCCATTTTTTTCAATATGTTAATATCCTGAAGGTGCTTCTCCTGTCACACTTAATATTACAATAATGATCAACTTTAAAATTTAAATTATTATAATATTTTCTAATCCCTGTAATGTATTTTAACTGTTGAATGTATATATCATTTTACTGATTGTCTCTATTAAAACACCAATTTCTAGAGGCATGTAAAGTTTATGCTCCCATTGTAGAATAGTTTCACTTTACAGAGTTTAAAAAGATTTGGTCTACTGTATTGTGGTTTAAAAAATAGGATTTCAGAGTGGAATTACTATATGGATAAGATAAGCCATTCTCTGACCATATATTTATCTTCAGAGTGTAAACCCTTTTTGGCCCAAGTAATTTGTAAAGTGAAGGGCCCTTTGGGTTGTTCTCATTGGGAGAAAAAAAATGAAAATAGAAACACTTTCATACAACCTGTTTATTTACAAAGAAGGTGCAAAATTCTGTTTCCCTGAACAGAAGACAAATCACAAAGCATAAGAGAATTTATTTGCTCATCTCTCAAAGCCAGCGATCCAGAATTTGACCCAAAATCTTTCTCATCCAGAGCCATGATACCAGAACACCAGCTATGTGTATTGCTCCTTATTGCCTTATCTCATAGCTTTTCTTTCTCTTATTTTTAATGTTCCACTCACAGACACCCAGACAATCTAGTTCCAAACCAATCAGTGCCCTAGCTTCTTTGGCTTTTATCTATCCATCATCCCTAACCAAGCCTGCCCAAGCTGGGGGAGTAGTAGATATGCTAGAGGGTAGGGCTAGGATTCAGAGAGACCTAGACAAATTGGTTTAGACAAATTGGAGGATTCGGCCAAAGAAATCTCATGAGGTTCAACAAAGGAGTGCGATTTCCTGCTCTTTGGACAAAACAATCCCATGTACTGGGACTTGTGTCTGACTGGCTGGGCAGCAGCGCTGCGAAAAAGGACCTGGAGTTAGAGTGGACAATAAGCTGAATAGGAGACAACAGTGTGCCCTTGTTGCCAAAAAGGCTAATGGCATACTGGGCTGCATCAGTACAAGTGCTGCCATTAGACTGAGGGAAGTGATTCTTTCCTTCTGTTGGGCACTGGTGAGGCCACATCTGGAGTACTGTGTCCAATTTTGGGCGCCCCCACTACAGAAAGATAATAGACAAATTGGAGAAAGTCCAGTGGAGAGTAACAAAAATGATGAGGGGGCTGGGGCACATGATGTATGAGGAGAGGCTGAGGAAGCCGGGCTTATTTACTCTGAAGAAGACCAGGTGGGAGAGGGGGATGGATTTAATAGTAGCCTTCAACTACCTGAAGGGTGGTTCCAGATAGGATGGAGCTGGACTGTTCTCAGTGGTGGCAGATGACAAAACAAGGAGCAACAGTGTCAAGTTGCATCAAGAGAAGTTTAGTTTGGATATTAGGAAAAACTTTCTCACTAGGAGAGTAGTAAAGCACTGGAACAGGTTACCCAGAGAGGTTGTGGAATCTCTATCTTTGGAGGTTTTTAAGACCCAATTACAATGATTTAGTGGAGATGATCCTGCTCTGAGCAGGGGTTGGACTAGATGACCTCCTGAAGTCCCTTCCAACCCTAATTTTTTATGATTCTATACACCAGTTTCAGCAATGGTTAACCCAATTAATAACAATAGGTAGCAATTCCAGTTTTAAATGATATTTATTATAATTTGTTTTCTACAGTGATATGTAGCTAAATGAAAAAAAGGAGAAAAAAGTCTTTCTAGGCTTTTGTATGCTTTTTCCTGGCAAAGGTACAGAGTTTTCTTTTTATCTGACAAGCTCAGTAGCTTCAGAACATTTACTGTAGGTATATCTTATAGGTCTGAGTTTAGGGCAAGGACTGGAAGGAGATGGTTGACTTCTGGGCCAAGAAAGGAAAGAATCAGTCCTTGTACCAGATTTTTCTGAATTTTTCTTTTGAATTCTTTCCACCTGACCTTTCAGAAATTTCAACTCTTTTTAAGTTAAATCATCTAGTTCCACTGAGATTCTCCCAATTTTCTGGCAGCTAGATAGATGTGTTTTAAATTATACATAGACAAATCCTGTGTGATCAGAACAATACTGCTCTCCAGTGTGATATTCTACTTTTTTCTTATTTTGGAAGCTCCCCAGTGTATTATGCAGTGTTTGAATTAGATAATTTAGTTCTAAAAATTTATGACTATGTTCAGCCTTTATACAAGTTTGAAATAATATTCATATTATTTCCTTCACTGGGACAGGAGAAGAGAGTTACAAGGGCTTGGGCCTTTAGGGAGACTATCTTAGTTCTACAAAGCTAAAATGGACTAGGAGAAAAATGAATTATTGATGGGTTTTAATTGGTCATCGTCTCTGAAAGTAACTCAGCAAATTAGAATCCAATAATCAAGGTCTGTATTACATGTTTAAGTGTTACAAACTACTCAGGCAAATCTAAATTCCAGATCATCACATATCTTGGTTTGAACTGTTAATTGATTTATCTGTTTCCTTGATCAATTAAGGCACTTCACAATTTTGGGCCTGATTCTTTACTCCGTAAAATAAGCTGTATGTCAGTAAACCTTCCTTAATTTCAATAAGGTAACATTGATGTAAAGGAATGGTGAGTCAGGCCTTAATAATCAATTGGTATAATAGTCAGCATTAACACTGATAGAATACAAAAAGAAAAAGGAAAGAGTATGTTAGAAAACATGGAAAGAGTACTTCTTTCTGTGAACAGTTTTTGCTACAAAAACAAATTTCAAATGAGGCTATGGGATAGTGTGGATAGATACAATCCTGCCTTGAAGAGGGGTCTGGACTAGATGGCCTCCGGAGGTCCCCTCCAGCCCTACTTTTCTATGACTCTATGCTTGCTTCTGTAAAAAAGTACAAACTTGATTTAACATAGCACCATTGATAATGCATGGAAAATCTGTAGCCATATAAAAAGGAAAGCCTCTTCTTCTCAGCAAGAAGAAATTCAACCCCCATTTTGTGTCCAGTGTTTAAACTTAGAAAATGACTTAGCAAATGGCATAAAATCAATTAAGGAGATGGTATGATGTGAGAATTATTGTTAAAATATCACCCCTCAGTGTTCTAGAAGATGCCTCAGAACATGGTACATGAAAGATTAACACTACATAATTCCAATCTTAGAAAAAGGTGATGATAGAATATTCTTGGTTTCTAAAAAAAGGAAATGGCTTTTTCACATAAATAAAAGAGAAATTTCATTTTTTTGTTTTTAGTATACTGCTGACAAAACTAAAGTAGTATTTAGACAGCCAAGTTACATAAGAAACAACTTAATTCAAATTTACCAAATTGGGTTGTTCAGCTAATTATATGGTCAGCCTGAACAGAGATGACATTTCACTCTATTGAAGTTTGGCTATTAGCTAGTTACTGATGATGTTAAGCACTAATTAATTAATTAACTTTAATTACTAATGAACACTTAGTAAGAAACTACAAAGATACACGCAGATATAGTACTTTAAAATATACATATTCTTTGTCTGAGACATTAGTAAAGGGATCCAGATATTTTTAATCTTAATTTTCAGATTCAAACATAGCTTTGATGGTAGTGGCTGAATTTCCTTACCATCAGTGGATCTCTATTATATATTTATAGTTTTATATTTCTGTGAAGGTGTGTACTAAATTCATTATGAACAGCTTGAAACTCTACCACAATACAAATTTTCACTCATTTCCCTGCAAATGTGTTTTACTAAACATACTGGTTTAGTATGAAGCAACTATATTTTACCACACATGCTGATGTGTTTAGTAACCTCTTGCTGCTGGGTAGAGTAACTAAGGTCCCTAGCAGATGTTACATTTATCATGTAATTAGTGGTAACATGCTACAAAGTCGATCAATTTATCAACCTAAAATGGCAAGCCAACTCCAAAATGTTCCACATTGTATATAAAAAGAGCCATTACATGTGGAATATCTTTGTGGCTGGTTGGTATGGTGCTTTAAATTGAATGTGTGGCCTGGAGCTGATGGGCTCCCCCTGCCCAGGAAATTCAAACTAGCTTCCCTGCTCTACTTCATGTATGGCTTTAAACATGCTGGTCAGGAAGAGCCCCTTGGTGCCCCCTTCCCCATCTCCTGTAAAGTTGCTTGTTCAGGTCAGGCAGCCCCAACTGAACCTTTAGTATGGATGAAGGCAGCACAATTATGATCATCACCTATTCCTTACCCCTCACTCCTCAAAGATACTGTTTAAAATGGAGGGGAAGTAATGAACTGAAAATGCAAATCCAAAGTTTACAGCAGACCAGTACAGTAGAGTTTTCTTTAATTAAATTTCCCACACCGTTCTGCTTGTCCACAGATCTCTAGCAGTCTGGGGTTGTCAGTCTCCACTGGGGGATAGCAACATGTTTCTCTCATCTGGGTGGTCAGCTGTACAAATGTTGGGGCAAGGTTCTCCTGTAGTCCAATTAATGTATTTTTTTTCATGTAAAAGATCTGGTATGATGCTGGCCCTCCCAAGTTTCCATCACAATCAATGATGGACATTTGGTCCCATCTATAAGTGCTTGTGATTGTTGCTTGAAGCATCACTTGGTGTAGGGACTGCTTACCAGGTCCCCACTTGCAAGTCCAAATGCTCCCAGCTGGTAGCCTCTTCTAACCACTCTGTATTCTGTTAAGCTACTCATAACTGAAAGCCACTTCCTCCATCTTCTTTGACTGCAAACTAACCTCTGAAATACTTGCCACTGTCTTATGGCAGCAACTTATGCAGAGGTTTGAAAAAACAAACAAACTAATTACTGCCTTCATAAAAAGCAGCAGTATTTGGTCCTGGTAATTAGGGAGAGGAAGATGTATTCCTTCAGCATGTACCAGCTTGGTTATTACCTGGAATGAATTTCTTCCCCCAGATCTAAGGAAAAACCAACATTTTTGCCCCCAAACTAGACCTTGTAAATGTGACTCCAGTTAATTTTGGGATATGAGCCTTATTATGGATATTGATTGTTGTGGTCACCTGTAGTGGTAATGCAGACAAAAACTCAGTGGGTGCGTCTACACAAGACGTTATGTCACTGTAACGATGAGCTACAGTGATGTAGCTCGTCGCTATGGCGATGTAGTGTCTAAAAATAACTGTGTGCCACGGGGACTGTGCAGTACCAGTGGGGACTGCGTGGTACCAAATGTTGAGTCAGGGGCCTGTGTAGACGCACTCTGTGAACAGCATGCTAACACAGACAATGTGGTCATGCAGTAGTAGGCTTTCCCACATGGACAAGAAGCAAGGTTTTTTTTGGTGATACCTTTACTGGACCAACTGTATAGTAGGGCAAGATATCAGACAAGCTTTTGGGCACAAGTACCCTTTCTCAGGTCTGGGAAAGAAGCAGAAACAGTCCAAGCTACATACCAGAAAAAAACCCCCAATGACTTGTGTTTAACTCCACATGTAAAAGAAAGAGGTACTTTGAGGAGTGTAGAAGACCTATAAATTAGGAGCAAAGAGAAGTTATCAGGAATAGTTTCAACCAAAGAGAAATGCACTTGAATAGATAATGTAATTATGTAAAGAAGGACCATTCAGAAAAAAGGGTTATTTTTATCTCCTGTGGAGTAGAGACGTTAGAGACATCAGTTAGAGCATACTGAAATCATTAGTCAGTGGCAGGTGTGTCAAACTTACCCTGGGCCTGATCTGTACTATGGGGCTTCCTGCAGGTCAGATCCGTGTGACAAGTGGTGGCAGAGGCAGTGGCAGCAAAGGTGGTAGAAGCGGGGACATTAGTAATGGCAGCAGCAGATGCATTGGTGGTGACAGAGGCAGCAGCGGTGGCATTGAGGCAAGTGGGTGCTGGAATGGCAGTGGCCCAAGCAGTAGTGGCCCCAAATAGCTGCCTCTTCAGGATGAGCGGGGTTATGTTGGTTCAGTCCTGGTTTGCCTGACCACTGATGAACACCATGTCCAATGGGGCTGCAGGACATCAAACAGAAATCACACAGTAATCATGAAATGACATCCTGCTATTGTGCCATGATTTTTCCATTGATGAGGAAGTCTTCTGTCTTCTGTTTTGGTAGCTGTCTTTAGTTAATGGCACTTTATACCTTAGCTTTCTTTTTTCTCCCTTTCTTATGTGAGGAAAAGGATATACTTGTGTATGATATGGAGCAGGATCTCACTCACTTTGCTGACAGCAGAGAGGGGAGGAGGGGATTAACTTCTCTGGCCTTCTCCTCACTGTCTGTTAACCACAGCCTAAGTAATTAGATACTTGCTAATGTATATGAACCTGGAGTTCTCTTGTAGCCATGCTGATCTGGAAAATATGCAACAAGCAAGGTTTCATAGATTTCATAGACATTAGGGCTGAAAGGGACCTTGGGAGATCACCATGTCCAGCCCCCTGCCCCAAGGGAAGGAAGTCAGCTGGGGTCAAAGGATCCCAGCAAGATAAGCATCCAAGTGCTTTTTAAAGGAGTCCAGAGTAGGTGCTTGCACCACCTCTAGAGGGAGCCTATTCCAGGCCTTGGGGGCTCAGATAGTAAAGAAGTTTTTTCTTATGTCCAGCCTAAAACGGTCTTGGAGGAGTTTGTGACCGTTGGTCCTTGTCATCCCTTGGGGCGCCCTGGTGAACAGACATTCCTCCAGATCCTGATGCACACTCCTGATGTACTTACAGGCTGCCACCAGGTCTCCCCTGAGCCTGCACTTTTCCAGGCTGAATAGCCCCATGGCTCTCAGCCTCTCTTCATAAGGCCTGTTCTTCTGCCCTCTGATCATGTGTGTGGCTCTCCTCTGGACTCTCTCAAGCTTCTCCACATCCTTCCTGAATTGTGGAGCCCAGAATTGGATGCAGTAGACTCCAGCTGCAGCCTCACCAAAGCTGAGTACAGCAGAAGGATGACATCCTGAGTTTGACTTGAGAAGCATCTATGGATGCAAGCCAGAGTTTGGTTTGCTTTACCAGCTGTAACATCACATTGGTGGCTCATGTTCATCTTGTGGTCAATCATGACCCCCAAGTCCCTTTCAGCCTTGGTGCTAGCGAGTGTAGCACTGCTAAGACTATAAGCATACTGCGGGTTTTTTTCCCCAAGGTGGAGTATCTTACATTTGTTGGTATTGAATGTCATCAGGTTTGTATCCGCCCACTTTTTCAGCCTATCCAAGTCAGCCGGGATCACCAGTCTATCCTCAGGTGTGGACGCTTTACCCTAAAGTTTGGTGTCATTGGCAAACTTGGCCAGTCCACTTCCAACACTTGTATCCATGTCATTGATAAAGACGTTGAAGAGAACAGGTCCAAGGACCGTGCCTTGGGGGAGACCACTGGTCATGGAGCACCGTGATGATTCGCTTCCATCGACCATCACTCTCTGAGTCTGGCCTCAGAGCCAATTCTCCAGCCATCAGACTGTGATGTAGCCAAGACCACAGTTGGCCAATTTTTCTAAGAGGAGATTGTGGGACACCAGATCAAAGGCTTTTCTGAAATCCAGATATATGACATCAATCTCTTCTCTCTTGTCCAGGTGATATGTCACCTGGTCGTAGAAGGAGATGAGATTGGTCAGGCAAGACATGCAACAAAGCCATGCTGGCTGTCACTCAGGATGTTGCCATCAGCCAGCTTGTCAAGAATGGACTCTTTGATGATTTTTTCCAGAATCTTACCAAGGATTGAGGTAAAGCTGATTAGTCTGTAGTTACCTGGATCTGCTTTCCTCCCTTTCTTGAAGATGGGCAGCACATTAGCCTACTTCCAGTCTTCAGGTACTTCACCTGAATGCCAAGTGTTTTCAAAAATCTTGGCTAGTGGTTGGGCTATGACTCCTGCCAACTCCTTAAATACTCTGGGGTGCAATCCATCAGAACCCAGTGACTTGAAGGTGTTCAACCTCTCATGGTGTTCCTTTACAAGGTCTACACTGATGCTGGGTATAATTTCACCCTCACCCTGGCTGTCCCACATCTTGCTAGGCAAGGCGGACCCTTGCGGTTGATGAAAAACCAACGCGAAGTACCCATTAAACAGGTTAGCTTTTTCCTGGGAGTCAGTTGTCAGTTGTCCCATTTGGTTTAGCAGGGGTCCAATATTACCCTTGCTTTTCTTCCGACTCCCCACATATCTAAAAAAGGACTTTTTATTGTCCTTGATATGTGTAGCCAGGTGGAGCTCGGTTGCAGCCTTGGCTTTCCTGGTTCGATCCCTACAGGTACAGACCAGTGCAGAATAATCCTCCTTTGTGGTGATTCCTATCTTCCATCCTTTATAAGCCTCTCTTTTTTGGCTTAGGAGGTCCATGAGTTCCCTGCTGAGCCAAGGGGGTTGCTGTGCCCTTTTGCTACCTATCCTTGAGATGGGATGGACATCCCTTTTGCCTCCAGGATCGCTCCCTTAAGGAGCAACTACTCCTCTAGGACTCCTCTCCCTGCCAAATTTTGGTCCCTTAGGGCCTTGACAACAAGCCTCCTGAGCTTATTAAAGTCAGCTTTCCTAAAGTTGAGGACTTCTGCATTGCTGACTGGGTTGCTAGCTTTGCAATGGGTAATAAAAGTGATCAGCTCGTGGTTACTGTCTTCCAGCTTTCCTTCAATCTTTAGGTTGCTGACTAGGTCATCCCCTTTAGCCAGTACCAGGTCCAGCAGCGATTTACCTCTTGTGGGTTCATAGACTTCTTGGGTCAGGTAGAGTTTGTCCACGCATGTGAGGAAGCTTTGCGACTGTTTGGATTTAGCTGGGTGCTCTTCCCACGAGATGTCTGGGTAGCTGAAGTCTCCCATGACAACCATGCACTGAGAGCATGTACCCTCAGCCAGTTCCCTGGGAAATTCTTGGTTAATCTCTTGTTCCTGGTTGGGGGTCTATAGTAGACTCCTACCATTGTGTCCCCTGTGCCACATTCCCCAAATATTTTAACTCAGAGCGTCTCTAGTCACCCTCCCTGGGTGCCAATGTCAGCTTGCATGGATGTGTTGCTATGCTTGACAGAGAGAGTTATACCCCCACCCTTTTTATCTGCATGATCTCTCCTATACAAGGTATAGCCATCTATTCCTGTGGCCCAGTCATAGGTGGAGTCCCACCAGGTTTCTGTTATCCTTATGAGATCATAGTCTTTCTTGTTTAGTAAGAGGACCAGTTCTTCCTATTTGTTCCCCAAGCTCCTGGCATTGGTGTGAAGACACATAAGCATCCCATTGGGAGCCCTAGGCTTCCTCACATTCCCAGGAGGACACCGTTCCAAGGCTGGGGTAGGAGTGGAATCCCTTGGGTGCCCTAGCCTGTTGGATTTGTAGCTATTGCCTAGCAGGCTTGCTCTTGTGGTTGTCCACCAATCCCCCGGTGGGCTTAGTTTAAGGTTTAAAGGTTTCTTGTGATATCTTTTATTGGGTGAACTCTATAGGTAGGAGAGATGTTAGACACGTTTTCAGGCACAAAGTACCCTTCCTCAGATCTGGGAAAGAAGCAGAAAGAATCTAAGCCAGAGGCATCAAACATATAGCCCACAGGCCAGAAACCCATAGGAACTAGAGGAGGGAGAGCAGAGAACCAGGAGCTTGTTGAAGGAGCAGTTTGTAGGGAGGAGGTAGACTGGAACCCAAATAAGCTTAGAGAGTACTGGGCCAGAGCGAAAGGGCACCTCTTACCACATGGAGAAGGCTAAAAGTTTTGTTTGCTAGGTTATTTATTTTTTTGGTGCAAGGACTATGTTTGCATTTAGAGGACTGGCTGAGGAGCTCCCAAGCAGGAGCAAAGCCAGCCTGAAAGGCAACAGGCACACCAACCCACTTACAGGCTGCTAAAAGTGAAACACATTTTCACAAGCTTCTTCTCTTTGTGTTGTTTTACAGTTAAGGGCAGGAAACAAGAAAATGAAGCTGATCTGCAATATCCATAATGTATATTTAAACTGGACTGGAGAAAGATCTGAAAGAAATAGAATATCATCTGAACATCTACTATGATATAGTCCTACAAGTCAAATAATTTGTTTTTCAAAAGACAATAAGTAACAGTAGACATAAAAAATGTGCAAATAGTGTTCCATATTGTCAATATTATTCTAATAACAGCAACTTCTTAGACATATGTGATGATTAAATTAGTTTGTGAGCCATACGTTAAAACATCTGACATTCTCAGAAATTTGTGAGTTTTGAAGTTAAAATTATTTTTTAATAAAATAAGGACCTAATAGTTCAACGGAAAAGTATACCTGGTTGTTTTCTGTCAAGGTAGACCATAATTGCCAAGGAGACAAATAATAATCAATCCACACACTTTTGAGTTTAAGACTGTTAAATGGAGCACCCAAGTAAAAAGCCTTTGCTCCAAGAAAAATACTCTGAGGTATAGGAAGGCTGAATCCCTGGTTCCAAAAGTTGCCTTAGGATCATCATACTTGCACCCTGCTACTGTGAGATATGACATGGAGTTGTAAAGGTCAGCTGCTCCCTTCTAGCCTAGGATTTAAGCGTTGTCGATTCACAGCATGTGGGACTGAATTAGTCATGCTCCCAAAGTATTCACTTTTTTACTCCAGGGGAAAGCATTAAAAGGTCTACTTACAACCCTGGGAAATCAGGCAGAACTGCTGAATCAGCCTGTGTGGCAAAGATGCCTATTTCTACTCCATTTAAGCTTTAGATGGGTATATTTGGCCCACCATTTGTATTATTTAGTGTAAATCAGGGGATTAAGGTTGTATTTTAAATAGAAAAATTGAGAGAAAAGGGTAAGCTAAGATCACTTTAAAGCATTTCTTTTTCAGTTCCTTGACTTCTAATGATAAAACAAGTTAATTGAAGTGGTACTATTAACTTCACAGTTTTGCTTATAGCTGGTGCTTTTAACACATGGCAATTATCATGTTTAATACTCTGCTGAGCATTTTTGTTGCTATTTGTTTTTCTTTGTATTCATTAAATATTAGGTTTTTTAAAAAAAAATCTGGGCTGGTTAGATT